TGCCGTACCCGCACCTGGAGATCACATCCATGGCGAACGCGCCCACGTGTTGGCGTATGTCTATGGCTTCACCTAGTTGCAAAATATTTTGATTATTATTTATTATTTAAGTTATTTGTTTTATACACTGAATTTAATCTATGCCAAAATAATTATTTACTGGATAAATGATTAATTTTATATTATTTTAAATATTTTATAACTGTTTCATTAATAAACTGAAATGACATGCTTAATAGAATTGTATTATTCATGATGCTAAATTTATATAATTAAGAAATTAAACATTTTAAAATTTAATGTATTCATTAAATATTTTTAACTTGGTATTAAAAACATTAACATCTTTTCTATGGTAGCCAAAATATATAACACCAAACAATTTGATTAAATTTTTATTAATTTACATATTTTGTTACAGTTTATACAATAATAATACTGTAACATTATATCCCAATCGATAAAATATATTATTGATAGATATTATGGTAGAAATGAGAGTATATCACAAAATAAACAAAATCAACATTTAAAGTTTATATTAAATTAACAGATAAATAATAAATTGTACCTGATACTTCATGTTGAGACAAACTTTGTATAAATCTGTCGGAAATGTCCGATATGTGAGCCATCATTGCCCGCAGTTTACCCGACGTGAACACCGGCGACAGTATAGATCGCTGGCGTTTCCAGTCGTCATTCCCGGGCATAAAAAACAAACTCTTATCCAGTTTAGACGTACCAAGGTGAAAGTCCAAGTGATGTGGCCATATGTGAAAGTCTCTGACAAATATGTCCCTGAGCAATTCGGGATCGTTGATACTGATCACATTCTTGGTAAGTGTGTGTATGCCGTATACCCGACCGTATAAACGTGCGAATTTTGTATCAAGCTCATGTAGCGGTACCATTTTTGGTAAAAGCACATATTTTGGCCCTGGTACTCCATGCCGGGTCCAGTATGAGTAGCGATGTTTCAGATAGCTGATTTAATTTTTAAAATTTTCAAAATTATTTTCAATACTAATTAGTAAATACTGGTATTATATTTATTTTTAGGTTATTATAGATTATTATGTTATTCAAATATTTAAAGAAATAAGCAGGAATGTTAATTACTTACTAAAACAATCCGATAATAAATGTCACAATTAATGAAATAATTGTTAAATTATCCATAATGTTTTTACAAAATCACATACACCTAAGTATTAAGTTAAATAATGTTTAAAAGTTTTGACTAACATAATTAAAACATTTACGCTTATAGTGTATATAAATAGGAAATACAATGTTATCATAAAATGTACATTGTACTTATAAACTGTTTAATAGAGGTATAACATTATTACACACACAAAGTAGGTATACAAAATTTTAACAAAATATTACCACAAGTATACTTTAAAACACAAGTATGTAACATTGTGGTAAAGACCTTGATACTACTCCACCTCCCTTTCATTATTAAATACTTTGTATGTTTGTATAAAAATTTGACATTTATAATATTAATGGTGGTAAATTACCTGATTAGATTATTTACTAACTTATAAGTGTAGTAAGATTCAATGCCATGATGTGCACAATGCACTTTTAATAAACACACTGTGTAATAGTTAGGCTAATAGTAGTAATCATACAGGGTAGCCTTTTATTAGCGATACCATTTTGATTCTCGTTTATTTGAACACCCTGTATTATTTTTAATTGATTCCTTCACCAAATTATAG